GCGCTCCAGGGCTGAACACAGCACTGCAGGGGGGTCTCACAAGAGCAGAGCAGAGGGGCAGAATCCCCTCCCTCGCCCTGCTGCCCACGCTGCTTTGGATGCAGCCCAGGGCACAGCTGGCTTTCTGGGCTGCCAGCGCACGGTGCCAGCTCATGTTGAGCTTCTACGAACCTGCGTGCTTCAAATCTCTCTTGCGCTCCCTCTGCAGCAGTGGGAGCTCCGGCTGCACGCTTGCTTTGGCAAAATGTCCATCTGCTGGATCTGTTCTGCGGGAGATGAGCTACGATAACGTCCGTGCCTTGGGAAGATGCAGGAACCAACACATTCCTACGTGGCTGATGTAAAGAGATCGTTATGTTAAAGGTACACGTTGCTGTGCCGTAAATCTGCGCTGTGCACGCATCTCAGAGCTTTTATTTTGCACGCTGGCATCTTTTGGAGCTTGGGAAAGCATCACTGAGGGCATTTTTGCCATTCAGCAACACTGTCAGACCTCTCCTACCTGCTGGGACCTCCAAACGGTACCAAATCCCTGATTTTTCTGTTTTGTTAATAATCTTGCCAGTAAACTCTTCCTAACCCTGAGCAACCACCTGCCACACACCGACTCGAATTCCTGTCGCCGGTTACAACCAAAAGTAAAAAAAGGTAGAGAGAAACGGGAGCACGTGGCAGAAGGCTGGGCTGGCAGCTTGCTTGGCCAGGAACAGGAAGGAAACACTGACTTCCCACCTCATCACCTCCCAGCTGGGACACGGCTTGGGAAGCCCGAGATGAAGCACGATCGAACGGAGTGAAGGCATCATCCAAAATAAGCATCAATGGCCCGAGAGCAAACCCTGGCGAGGTGTCATCTAGAAGGAGAGTACACTGCAAGAGTGTTGGGAGGCAGAGATCAAGCTACTGTTGCAGTAGTCTAGATCAAAGAAGTGAGGTTTGGGAGAGGAACTTCTTACCTATAATTCAGCCCCCGACAAGGCTCCCAGCAAGGCGATAAACGAGCCGGCAGCGCCTCCAGAGAAGAGCCGTGCAGCCTCTGCCAGCAAGATGGTTAAGAAGGACACTGCCACACTCTCTCCTTTCCTTGGAAATCTACTGTTTGGCCACGTCTGCATGATCTCATTCCTCAGCCCACCTTGGCTTACCTCATCCAGGAAATGAGAAAAAAAATAAAGACATGGCTCCAAACCTTGTGCCAAGGCTGCAGCAGGACCAAGAAGCCAAATCCTAGCTCTGCTTTTGGTCTTGCCTCCTACTGAATCCTTCCATGAGGCTGGCAAACTGGCAGGCACCAAGATCTCAGGTGTCTTTAAGATCAGGCTGGAATGAGCCACCTGCCAAGCATCTCCTGGTCCAGCTTCTAAAAGGAATAAGGTTTTTCATCCACCACCCTGGTGGGACAACATGCTCCCTTGCTTTGTGAAGGTAGGTTACGGGTAGAGGCAGAAGTCTTTTCCTTAGTCTCCTCCTGAATAAAGAGATGGGGCCTCTGGGACGAGAGCTCACCATAGCACAGACCTGCTGGAAACGAGGAACCATCAGTGTCCTCTGCTCCGAGAGCTACCACTTCTCAATTCGTGGCATCTGAGAAAGTAACCTCAGCTCTTCCTTAAGTATTTGCCCCTAAAAGGGGGCAGCTGAGCTTGCCCATATAAATCGTAGGTCACACGTAGCTACCCACAGGAGAGGTGTTATCAGGGAGCACCTTCTCTCATCTGAGAGCTAAATGCACCATAACTGGGGGCCTCTCCCAACCATGGCTGACATTTGTTAGGAGCAGAACCACTGCACAATTAATAGAAAATGCCCTACATGAACAGCATTTAGGGTTGTCCCAATGAATTATATGGACAATTTGCCATCTTCCACTAGAAACTCAACTGTTCCTTGCAGGGGGGTTGGACTAGATGACCTTAGAAGGTCCCTTCCAGCCCTAACCATTCTATGAATCTATGATTCTATGTACAAATTCTGGACTTTAGGACACAAGGCAGCATCTTTCCCTGCCCAAACCTATCCGTTTCTCCACGGCTGCATAACGAATGGAACCAGGGCAAGAACCAAGTGCGAGTGCCATGTGCCACAGCCAAGGAGTGGAAACAAAGGAGGAGAGACAGGGGCTGAGCAGGACATTCCCGAGATCCCCTAAGCACATGCAACATCCTCAGGCCAACGCTTGCTCACAGCCATCCATAGAAGGCAGAGCTCTCCGATGTCGCAGGAGGAAAGATTTGTCACTGCGAAGCCGTGCTGGTCATCGCAACGGCCAATAAGGTCTAAACCAACATCCTCATCGTGCCCTTAATTTCCCTCCGCCGCTGCGGGAGGGCTGGAAGTGGTCCAAGAGCCATAGCTCGTGGTTCATTCCGCTCCAGAGAGGGGAGGCCCTCTGGAAAACGCAGATCAGCC